CAGCAGGGGAGGACACCTTTTTTCCCTAGTCTTCCTCTTGCTGTTATATAGTTGTAGAATCCTTTTTTCTTGCCCTTCTCATCCCTTGCCAGATTCAACTCCAGAGGGCCCTCGGCTTTCTTAACCCTATCCCTGCAAGATCAGAAAGCAACTGTACGCTTCTTTTGGGTCATCTGCCCCTGCTTCTACCTCTTCTGCACTTCCTGTTTGGGGTCAGTTAGGAGCTCCTTGCTCATCCATGCAGGCCTCCTACCACCTGTGCTTGACTTTCTGCTTCTCGGGACGGACCTTTCTTTAGGTGTTCCATGCAGGCCTTCCATGCAGAGACAAGGCAATCCCCCAAAGAAACATCTTCAATAGCAGTCAGCCAACTCAGACAAAGTTGAACTTTGCGGTGAATGCTTCTCCAAAAGAACAAAAAAAATGCTGCTGGGAAAATCTCTTTTTCAATCGTACTGATATGAAATCAACACCCAAATAACAATACACACTACTGCTCATGAAGTGTTTTCTTTCTGAGCACGCTGTGTATTTTTCCTGGGTAAGACTGATCTTCATTGTGCCAGCTGGTGTTTCAGTATAATCTCATACCGTTTTTTCATGCCTTAATTATACCTTATGGGTGCTTTTGCAACAGGTTTTGACCAACTCTTTAAATGAATGCAAAAAGTAGCTTTTAGAAGAAAGTACTTCTATAGAAATCAGTTTGAAGCTCTTCTGCTGAGAAATAAAGCAGCTACTTAAGTCTCTTGAGACAGGAATCTTACTCATTATATGTTGAATAAAAATAGCTACAGTGTTTAGGCCTCCAACAGCTTTAAGTGACGGCTTTAAAACAAGATAGTAAAGGCAAGAAAAGTCAGGACCCATGCAACTTTTATTTTAATAATTAGACAAATACAGTAAAATTTGCAATAATCTATCAAAAACATATCTTATCAAGAACTGGAAAGGTGTTTAAAAAACATTCACATTCAATTCAGATTATGTACAAACCAGTGTTTGTAAAAAAGAAAACAGCAAATGCTTTGAGTGTAAAAGAATTCCACCCTAGTTCACGTTTCAGCGTTCCCAATGACCAAGTTACCACTGAGATGCCATCACAGTGCAGATATGTTCCACAGTCTATTAAACTCGTTTCAACAGCATCATTGCCAAAAGTAATTTTTTTTTTTTAAAATAAAGCATTTTGAGAAGTTCCGTCATATAGTACCATCCACCCAAAATGTACTTCTGCATATTTAATTCTTGACTGCACTAATGGCAGAACAGTTGTCATCTACAGGCCCAGAGTACAAATAATATATATCTACATCTCTATAGGTACAGATATATATCTATATATCCAAGAAGCACCAGTCTCCTATGCCTGAAATAGTCAGGGTCTGCTTTGTACATTGAGGAGATTAGCCATTTTTAGTGGAGCACAGCCCTTGATTATTTGGCTCTAAGAAGTCATCATCTGCCCAGTCAGAACTACTCTGAATGTGTTGCAGTATCACACGTGTACCTTCGAGACTCACCTCACACAGATGACATTTGAATTTGAGTGCCACCGTAATAGCCATACATAGATATGACAGCATTATACACCTTTGCTATAAGACCAGCTTCCAGGATCTCTCTTTTTTGCTCTGGATTAAATCCCCCAACAGAAAAAAAAAAAAAAAAAAAAAAAGAGAAATAAAGTGGCTGGGTTTTAGGCAAATCTGTAACTCGGTATTATGTTTTCTCATTTATTTATTTGAAGCTTAGCCAAAGAAGGGACTAATCATTGATGTAAGCTGAAAGGGGAGAGAAAGCTATCATGATTCAGTTTCGAAGTATGAATACTGAAACAGTCACACAACAGTTACCAGTCAGTCTGCTTGGGCACAAAAGAGATGAATTGTGTAACCCTACAAGGGTTACACAATAGTTCTTTCAGAGCTACAGTCTAATGTGCTGTCATTAACATACTAATTTAATAATAACAAAAACTCTCTCAAAAATGCAGACTACATGTAAGAAGTCTTTCAGTTATACCAAGCTAACCAAGCTGAAACGGTGCATGATCTCAAATTAGATTGGTGTTTTAAGACAAAGGAAAGAAAAGTGACACAACCTTCACGTTTATGTATTAACAACACAAATGCAAACAAAAACTACTCTCAACTGAACCTCATGGACCCAAGTACTGAGATGATCTTCAGTTGCAAGATCTCATTTGGAGCATAAACTACCATAACTTGGCATAAGAGGGCAAACCTGGAAAATTTCATCTGGTTTTTGAAGGTGCATGTAAGACTTGGTAATAAGCAGTGTACTTTAACATATATTGGCCTGGGCTTGAAAAGCAATTTCCCTTCTGAATTTACTTTGAGATTCAAATACATAAACTTCAACAGTTTCTGTGAATATAGATTTTATAGTCTCCACACTAGCTCAGAAATTAAAACTTCAGGATAGCAGAAGCAGCTCTGGGGAGCGGAAGACCGGCAATTTAGTGTTTGAAGATTCTGAGCTCTTCCTTGGGTTGTACATCTAACACCCATTCAAGTACATGGAAAGGCTTTTGTGCATTTCTATAGATTCTAAAGCAACTCTTAATGGACCTAGTGCTCCCATGGTGCATATTTAAGCCAAAAAACCCCAAACAATAAAGAGGACTGATGCATTTAAGTAACAACTCCTAACTGAAAGTCAGCTCAGATAGGTAAACAGATGCTAGTGATGCCAACTCTTAGCAAACCTGTTCTATACAATGAAACAATAGTTAGGATGCCCAATAAAACACACAAGGGAATTTTCTTAGATATAATGCTCAGGAAAGGGACAAGTTACAATAGTATAAAAACAACTCAAAGTCTTGCAAAAAACAAAACAAAACAAAAACACACCAACCTGTTTTAAGTCAGGCTTCATTGCAGCAAAACATGGAACAGTGATTTAAGGTAGAAAACACAAGCAAGTTTGACTTGAAAAGTCAGTGTAAGCAATTTTGATATGGTTAGTTTATTAACGCTATCCACGACGAATCGGCACACAAATGAGATGAATAAAAGTACTTTAGAGGAGACAAGACAATATATTTTATGAAAATGTAAATGCTAACACTACAGTTAGCAAGTCATACTGGAAGAGAGAGAGATGTTTCCAAGGACAATCAAAGTAAGCCTTTCTTGGTTTTAAAGCAGATTTATGCATCACAGCCTTTCTTCCCTTATTTGGGCAATGGCTGGGCAGCATCCATGATGTCTCAGTCCTTTGAATCTACAGGCACCGAAACAAAGCTCGAGAAAAAAGGTAAAAGGAGCTTGCGTCAGGATTTTGACAGTTGTTCTACTTGGCAAGGACTCCAGTATCAAGATGCAAGTAAAATGGAATGCCCATCAATAGTATCCACTCCCTACGCTTCTCTCAGAAAAAAAAAAAACTTGTACAGAGTAAGAGCCTACAGCAAAAACTTCATCTCACACAAGTCTCATTTCCAAGCAATTATTCATAAACAAGTTCTTTCAAATGAAGAAGAAAATAGAGTTTAGCAGTTTTAAGGTTTGAATCGATTCTTTTCCTTGTAAGTTCAAAATCCCGTATCTTCTTTTCCGTGATTTTGAGTTGTCTTTCATTTCTCCAGTCTTCAGTTCCTCCCGGGAGAGGTAATTAAAGTGAAGAGAGCCACAGATTTTGCTCCTTGGTAACATTAAGTAATGTGTCACCTAACTTAAGTATCCCCACCAATAAAGATACTGCATGAAAAAAAAATCCCTGCCCAACCTGAGGTGTTAGATGGTTGAGTGACCAATACTTCAGGTCAACAGAACTGTAAACCACATTTTTGAAGAGGAAAAATTTCAATGATGCGTTACAAGTGCTACTAACAGCACTTTGGCTTCTAGATCTGCCAAGCTAAACTCCATCTGGGATTGCTGCAAATGTCTACTTATTTCATAAGAATTTCAATAGAAGGAACATATACCAACAATGCAGTCTGTGCTGTTAGTGACTATTCTCAAAGATAGGGTTTGAAATGGTGTTCTAGCAAAACGATTTGCAAGAGCACAAAGAGTAAGTCCTGAAATTGCTTTTTAATGTAGTTTATTAGCCTTTTAGAATCTAAGATCCAAATTAGGACCTTATGATCCACTAATGCCAAATAATTCAGTCCAAGTCTGAGTAGCTACATAAACTGGAGCAGGTGTACAGAAGGTGCACTCCATGCTTGAGGATACAAAGTATTAAAACTGAGGAGAGGCTCTAGTTCCAGTGGGGGGGCGGGGGGGAAGCTTTTAAATTTACTAAACCAAGCACACTCAGGCACAGAGGCTATGAAGTGGTGGAGCACTCTTAGAGTGACAGTACTTTCTCCCTTTGTCAAATTGCTACAAAGTCCTTTCTCGTTACACAAAGCAGAGTCAGGACTCCACTGTCAAAAAATCACTGCTGAAGAAATCTGAATTGGGTTCTCTCTCTTCAAGCGGTTACAGGGACAAGTTCCATGGGATTTGTCAGCTTCCTCTGTTAACATCAAGGAAGTCCTGAGCACCCTTAATGCTGTGAAAATAATCAACCTGTGGTAAGAGATCACATTGCTGGTGGAAGCATTAGCAATTTTCACACAGGTGGTCCTTACCAGAGATATGTATATCAGATTACCTCTGATATAATAGCACCCGGTTTAGACCAGCCATCAGGAAGAAGCCACTTTCACACAGGAAAATTCATATGGTGCCCAGTGCAGCAGTTGTCTCAGGAAAAAGAAAAAAAAAAACAACCACCATCGGAGGAAGTTGTAATGATTCAGGCTTGGAATCTTGAGTATTAAACTTCAGTCTCACTTGAGAACTGAGGGAAAAACATTTTTCCTCCTCCCAGATTTGCTACAAATATCCATAGAATACCAGCATCGAGTGTGCTAGATATAAAACTGATGGAATGCTAGCTGGTCCATAAAGGGTTGCACCAAGTTATCTGTAGCAAAGTAAAAAACTAGCCCAAAGGTTATGGAGATTGGAAGAGCTGGTAAGGCCTTCTTAAAGATGGCAAGAAGCAGAAGTGTAAGGCACAGACCCTGAGGGGAAGAAAACAAAACAAAACAAAACACAAAGGGAGAAATTAGGGAACTCTGACAAGCAAAAGATTTATATATATAAACATTAATCCCACAGAAATACAAGATACAGTTCATGCCTTCCTAAACTAAACGCTTACATGACAGACGTACAGCCAATGAAGATCACAGCTAAAGCCCTCATCAGTTTTCAGTCTGGCCACCAAATAAATGAATTTCAAAGAAAAAAAATGTAACAGCTATGACTTTGTCCCCAATGAACAACAGAAACCACCCCCATTATAACAATACATTATACTCACAATTAATATGGCTACAAAACACGCTAAAGTTGTATTCCAGTCCCCGCTTGCTGTTGCAGAGGCTTTGCCAACAAGAACACTGTAAAAAATGAAGTCTCCTAAACCTAGCTTTACTCCTCCTGCAAAAGTGAATATACAGCAGCATTAAGTATCAGACAGTCTACTAATATTACATATCAGTAATTGTCAGAGAATAATACAGATTTACATTAAGTATCAACAAGGCTTGCTAATAAGAACATTTTATTTTCAAAACTAGTACCACTCGGAATCAAGTGATAAAGAAAAACTCTCGTGAAACAAGACAGCTTAGGAATGTTACACCACTCAATTAATTCATCCTATAATTAGAATTTTTCTATATTCCTAGTCTCCTGTACAGACAAACGCAATATACACAAACTCAGGTATTTGTAATTAGATTTGTTAGGGAGGTGTCCATTTTTCTTTTTCAAGTCATATTCAACAGAATATTGAAATACGATTCCTTTAAGCTGGCTGAGGGAGGGGGAAAACAAATAAGTCCCTTGCAGATGATGTTTGATTTGCCAGTTAGAAACCTATAACCAGCAAAATATTCCACTGCCCTCCCAATTTTCCTACAGAATTTTTACTAAGGTAGTTCTAAAAAGCACTTGTGCATAATTACAGAGCATATCACAGAGGCAAAAAACCCAACGTATTTAGTCCAAGATGTGAGGTTTAGGAAAACTCATGAGTTAATGTCTTATTCTTTTAAATAGTAATTAACACCTTAGCAACAACTCTGGGAGCACAATACTCAATTATTTCTGCAAACAAAATAATGAAGATTTCCTGAATGCCAGTTCACTTTCTGAGGTTTTAGTCCAAGATACTAAGACAGAGAGGCCAACATCAGGTCACCAGCTGTTTTCATTTGGCCTATCGTTTACTTTGTCACCTGATTACAGTCCAGCCCAAAACTCATTTTAGAGGTCTAAGAGCATCAAAACAGAGGTGTATGCCTGGTTGATCATTGGGGAAAAAAAAAAAAGAAAAAAGACAAAAGAAAAAAAAAGGAGACAAGAAAAAAGATAGAAGGCAACACTACTCTCTATCAGCAGGGCTGCAATATATGGTCTAGAGCAGTGCATTCATGCAAAGCTCTTAAGCACTAAAACACCCTTTAACTGCTGAAACAAAACTTGGATGCTTGGTTTCAGCGTGACAGAACAGTAAGCAAAGGCAACTGCTAGATAACTCTTTCCACACAAGTGAACTCTCCAAATTTCTAATAAACCACTCCAAACTTCTAGTCAGCTAATGCTGGCTGACAAGTCTGACTGGATCACTGCACATCTGTCATTACTATTCACTGTAGGAATACAGGAAGGAGAAAATTAATAGTCTGGCCAGACAAGAGTTTTAATTAACCAGTTAACTAACTAAAATAGCCCAATTCCTAAAATTTTTGCATCTTAATGTTATTTTTCTAAGCTCTAGAAATGAAAATGGATTTGCAACACACTCTGAATTTGGAATTTTTGAGATAAAGTAAATTCTAAAATTGTTCTTAAAGTAGAAATCTCTGTATTCTTAAACAGAGGAGCACCTGAGAATCAGAGGAAGCAGTTGCACCTGCTAAATATGGCAGCATCACATGGGGAGAGCAGTTATTAGACAGGCAGACCCTAATTTATTTAGAGCTTTGCAAATCTAATAACCGCTTAAACTCCAACTGGAAATCATGAGTCTGTTAAAACAGATACCTGAGTATTGATGTCATATGCTCTCCAAAGATACTGCACCTCAGCAAGATGCTGGAGAAAAATACGCAAGCCCATGGCATTCTGCATTCATTTCAGTCTCCAGTTAGGTTTTAAACATTGCTTTCTACAGAGTGGATTACAGTAGTTTAATCTTGAGGCAAAAAAACATTAATGACTGCATTTACAGGGCCTAAAATCCAAAAGAGGTTATACACAGCAGAACACTGTGTGAAAAAGACAGAAACTAATGCAACTGACTGTATAATGGTCTGAAAGCAGCTTGTGCTATTAAAGTTTTGAGTCTGTGTATCAAACTGAAGATCAGTTTGGCCAATATTACTCAGTCCTGCAGCAAAACCAAAAGCTACCAAAAAGCAGCTCCATCTATTTCTATGAGGCATGTCAGTATTGATCATGAGCAAGAGCAGCTCTTCAGCTTGCTATTAGCTCACAGCATACTACATCTGTGCAGTCAGGATGACTAAGACTGACTAACTAGCTTCAGATTTACTAAGTCTTTCAGACACAGTACTCCATACTCACGTTCTTCGGGGTCTTCACTTGTTTGAGAGTTACTGGGTAGAGCCTGAACAGCAGCACGTGATTCAGGTGTTGATTCAATGGGTCCTATTCTATTGTCCCTTTGTTGCTGCCATTCCTGACTAAAGCCGCCATCATCTGCTTCAGCATCTTCATTCTGAGTCTGGTTTGCCGGAGCTCAAAGGAAGAAAGGCATTTAAGATCTCCTTCAAAAATGTACCTTCTAAAACATGACAATCTCTCCACATGTAAGATCATAGAAAAATGAGGGGAAAAAGAGGTATTCCATAATATTTAGTAACATCTAACATTGGCACACGCCATTACAAGACATTCTCACTTAGGATTTTAATATTTAAACAATCAGGAGTCAATGTGCACTCCACAGTCACAGCATCTGCATGTTGCACTCAAGTCCTAGTATTCAGGAGTACTTCGACATAACAGAGTGGAAGTTCTGTGGTGATCTAATTTAAAGATCACAGTTTAAGGAATAAACTTTCATCTAATATTACATTAGCTTCATTAGTCAACATTGACAGCTTAATTTTCCAGTGAAATAGAAAACTTTACTGAAAGTTACATACATACACCCCTTCATGTTAAATTCAGAAACTCTGCTCTGCTTTAATAATACATGTAAACACCCCCCCCCCATGTTTTTAGACACTAGCTGCATAGCCAAGAGGGCTAGACACATTTCTGTTTAATAGAAACATAAATGAGTTAGCATTATTCTGTATCATCGCAATTTGACAAGCAATTGAGCTCAGTCAACAGCTGTCTATTAAGTCATTTCATCACCAACATCTTGGACGCCAGAAAAATGAATGCGAGAACATTAACTGCACAGTAAGTAAGCAATTGTTTAAGTCTTGACAGATTCACCATTCCTAATAAGGTCTCCATGCTTTCTTTCTTCTACAGCCACCAGGACACTTAAAAAGCTAAAAACCAAGTACCTATAAAGATGTATTCTGATAAAAGGACAACTATAAAGGCTTTTCAAAGAAATATTCACCTTGTTTATCATAAGTGGAGTTTTTGGAAGCTTTCCGTTGGGCTTCTGGATCTTCCTCAGCCATGTTCACTAGCCATATCATTGTTGCTATTAAAAAAAAAAAAAAGCATAGCTAATCATACCTTCAGATGTATGCAATTCTGAGATAGTGCTGACATCAATCCTTTTTTTTTTTTCTTTTTTTGATACAACTATCTTTTGCAACAGGCAATTTTACTCTCATTAAAGCACAGTAATATCTGGAACACAGCCAGTACCAGCTACAACAGGCATTTAAAGAATTTGGCGAATAAAAGTTTTATTCTTACTACATGTTGAAAAAAATGGCAACAGCTGTTGCCAGAGAAATTGCTTCTATATATGAGGCCCACTCTGAAAATCGGAATCAAGGATTTCTTTACTTTTTTCCATTAATCAGTTCTTTTATCTGCAAGCAAAAAGGTCTATTAAGACTGGTACTGAGGTACACCAATTCAGAGGCAGTATCTGCAAAGTTAATTGTTCTCTGCCCCCACCATCACAAAGAATTCTCCAATCTGGTGGTAATGAAATGTTGTCACATTTAAATGGTGTATTTTAATGCAAGTTTGTGGTTTCTCAGTGCTAACCTCTCCTCTGACAAAACAGAACAACAGGCAGCTATGAGTAGTATCAGTAAAACACAGCAAGAGTGACAGATAAAGAAACGCCTCCCCTTTCTCCACTGTAAACTTGTCCCTGAAGCAGCCAGTCCGTCTACAACACGCTTCCTGCTTCCAAATGCAGGCCTTTGTGGAGCACCAGTAGCATAATGATTTGTGATTAACCTGTTTCACTGTTTGTCCATATGATTACGGCTAGCAACACGGAACTTCAGAAACAGTGGAATTATGTACTAATTGATACACAGGTGATAACAGCAATTTGCATTCAGCAGGTTATTTTTGCAACTGCCGGGAGAAACAATGTATCAAAAAAGACAAGCCCTGGAGAAAATAGTTCTGCAAACTAACTTCTTCCTGGCAATTTCTCCCTTCCCTTCCAGTAACACACAGGTTATTTAAGCACTGAACGCTGATAAATATTTTCCGAAACAAATACGTCCTTTGAATAGGCTTAATTCACAGTCCAATGACATACTTTTTTGGCCAAAATAAGGTGTATTACCATTTTTCCTGTTTGTATTTTGTAACAAAACATGCTGGTTTTTATCTTGAAAGATCTTGGCCAGAAGATGTTCTACATTTTTGAGTCAACAGTGAAAGGAAAACTGAGGCCCAAGCGAACAGACTAAGAATTCCAGCTGACAAGCATCGTGTTAAAATACAGAAAAATGAGAAAATCACTTCAGCTGAGTGGGTGATTGTAAGTTTAAAGCATTTAATGAAATGTACTCACAGGAGTAAATAAGTGCTGGGAAGAGAGTTTCGTTTCTCTCTTGAGCTGTTTCAACTAGCATACGAAGAGGACCTTTAGGACACAGGACAGCAACCAAATCTGAAAGAAGAGTGAACACATCTTACATCACTGCAGACATAAGAAGGTTTTTCTAGAACACTTGCAGAGACTGGTAATAAGATAAAATGCTACCCTGAACATAGACTTCTGAGAGCATCATTGGCCACAAGTCAGTATCCTACAGGAATACTTTTAAATTTTCTCAGTTATACAACCTGTTTTACATATTACTGTAATATGTACACAAATTTAAAAAATGTGATGTTCCTCAGTTAAGATATTACGCAACTGCAAATGTATCTGTGTCTGTATGTTGACTTGCAAGTTGAAAGCAAATAATTCACAAAAGCTACTATTCAACCAACATCTTGGAAATACCCAAGCTTGCTTTCCATTATCAAAGCTTTTCTTAACCCAAGTTTAATGCTAAAACAAATTTTAAGACAACAGGTAAGTGAGGCTTTACATAACTTCTGTGAAGTAGGCATGACTGCCAATTTATTTCCCACTTAAAGAGGAAAAAAAAGTGAATGTGCCTGTGAAGAGGAGAAAAACCAGGTTTATTAAGCATTGCAGAAAAATGCTGTGTTTGCATAGATTTGAGAGGTGTTCAAAGCATATTTAGCATAAGAAAACAACAGCAGCTTTTTATTGCTTCCCTCAATTCTTGTTCATGGGACAGTATATGAAACTGGGTGAACAAGTAAAAAATAACTGAAAAGCAATCATTTACAAAATAGGATGACTGTACAAGTTACTCATACAGATCAAAGCACAGCATTAAGAAAAAACGATCTATCAGATGCTCCATTTGCTTTCTCACCTGCATGTTGATGGTTTGTTAATTTAATTTGCAACTCCACAAGCAACCTCAGCTACTTTTCCCTTGTCTTGCATATTTGGACTGAAAACTGTAAACATTTACATATTAACCTTGCTACTACCTTTTGCAGTTGTCCACTCACTCTTTGAGGACATGGTTTAGTGGTGGACTTGGCAGTGATAGGTTAAGAGTTGGACTCGATGATCTTAAGGGTCTTTTCCAACCTTAACGATTCTACGATTCTATGATATGTCTTTGCATTCATTTGAAACAAAATCTGACACCGAAAGGAACAGCTTACTTGTCAGGAGCTGTATGTTGCACAGAGCAGGCCTTCTGCACCTGAACTAACTTCCCGAGCATGACTGCTGGTCCTGCTCAAGTAAAGAATTCTTAGTGTGGGGTCACAGGCTTTGAAACTTACCTCCCCTTTACTCAAAACAACCACATTACTGTCTTGGAATATGATCTGAAGAGTAATTTTGTTTTGCAATCACTGAATGAAGGCTGAATGCTTGGAATAGTCAGATTTGTTCCAGTCATACGAAGGGTGGAAGTGAGGAGGGGGGATGGGAAGGTTTTCTTAACGTGCCTTATGATCCATAAGCATACACATGAGGGACATTATTCCTCCCTCTGAAGGAAGAGGACCCCTAAGGAGTACACTGACCTACCAGAGCTAATAAAATCTTATTAACCCCTGCACTTCTACAACTGGACAGATTCTCAGTCTTTATCATTATCAGTGACCTTCAGAGTACACATTCCTCACACTTACATGCTTCCAAAAAAATTCAAGTTATGAGCACACCTTCATGCATACACTTCGCTGTAATGTTTTAATTATGTCTAAGTAACTGGATTTTAGTCTCGCCTGAGAACTAAATCTGTATTTGGGATATAGAGTGATCTTCTTACCAAAAGTGTCCAGTGCCCTCTAAAGCTTTATGAAAAAACTACATCTAGGTATCTCTCAGTCATCATTCTGAAAAACTGTAATATGCAATAATTCAAATGAATTTTCTTTTTATTAAAAAAAAAAAAAATCAAGGAAACAGATCTCACAACTATATCCTTCTAAATGTAAAATGACTTCGAGCAACGAAAACTGCCTTTAATCCTTCCTTGCTTCCTCATTATATTATTAGGCATGGATCAGGGTGTTGTTTCTATGTCCACAAATTTGAGCAATTTGTAGGTTGGGCAGATCTATACCTGTATGGGACTGTACCCAAACAACAAGCTCCTAAATTCTGAACATAGGATAGTTTCCAAGGATTCTTGGGGAAAATGAGAAGCCAAAAGCTCTCCACCTTCATAGAAAAGATCAAAATGGCAACATAGGTGTCTTACATCTTCCTCTCTTGAATTATTTCAATTCTCCTCCCCAAAGAATCTAGGAAGTCCAGAAAAAAATGAAGGAAGATGGCACCACACAGTCATACAAAGCCCTTAGCCGCAGGGGACCGATCTCAGTTTAGATCGTGATCTTATTTCTGAAGTGTATAATCACTTTATCCACTACTTCGGATGATTCCCCCCTTTTTTCTTTTTTTAAAGTCTAGTCAGACAAACGGAAAAATCAGGGAATTCCCACCATAATACCTGTTACTATGCCTTGCCCCAGACCTTACCATACACTGAAATGACAGCCAGGATAAGCCACGCAGTCCATTCAGGAAGGTACTTAATGAACACCAAGGCCATGAGAGCGCTTATCATTATGAGATATGCCTGCTGGAGCCGAAGCGGACCCTTCCAATGAATACAAATCATTCCCACAACACCGAAGTTCCAGATCGTGAGCGCCACCGTAATGTAGTCCATGGCAACGTTATACGTCTTAAAAACCTCACTAAAAAAAAGAATATGGAAAAGAATACGGACTGTGTTTGCTTAAAACAATGGAAACAAGTTACAGATGCAAGCTTCAGAATATTTTGTTTTTAAAATTTTCCTATTCTATGTAGTGACACAAATGTAAAATTCTATCTCCAATTAGTACTTAACAAAGTACTTAACAAAGGGGATAATTTTACCAGTGTTTGCTTCACACCAACTCCTTTACTTTTCTGAAAAATTTCATTAATATTCTATTTCCTTCTCAATTAAAGCAGAAACTGACAGGAAAGGACTTTACTGCAAAACCAGTCATTTTGATTATGCTCATGATTTTTAAAAATCAGAAGAACTTGTGAGGTTATAATGGATCTTTAAAGGCATGCAAACAGATCTCTCTCTACTTACCTGCTGCCTGTGGAACGGAAACACTTTGCTAACTTCAAAGCAAGACATACATGGTTATTCTATTTTATTCTTTGTCACAAGCACTAAAGTAAAAAGCTTTCTTTATGGATGAACCGTGTCAGTCTGTCACACCAAATACTATAAACTAATCAAGACTCTCAATAAGTAAAACCAAAATAGACAAATACGTTGTCACCAAGTCACAGGTGATTTCCACTGACCCAGGGAAGAAATGGTTGTGATGGCTTTTTGCAGATTCTGCTGCTACCAACTCAGCAAGCCACTAAGAATCTTATAATTTGCATGATACTTTCCTCCAGGAAATTTGTCTTCCCTAGTTGTTAGCTGGCCTTTCAGATGTACAGTGTCAACAGGATGCCCCTTACTGCCATTGCATACAATTGGTCTACAAACTCCCTCCTCACTCACTGGACCTCTGCAAAAGGGAGGCAGCAGGGACAGGTGAAGGAAAGCACAGTGCCAGGAAAGCCTTCAGTACCTCTCCTCACATATGCTCATGGAAGAGTGCCAGCACCGATCCAAACCCTAAGGAAGTGAGCTTGGCAACTTGTCTCCACCCAGACGACACTGCGCTTGTGCAGCACACATTGCCTTGTATTTCAAAAGTCATTATTAAAGTTAGAGAAAATACTGACCAAAAAAGGCATCACAGATAATTTTTGGAAAAAATCAGTGACTGAAGAAACACCATTTTCTCCCCCTAGAGACCAAATTAAATAAGCTTCTTCAAGGAGAAGTGTATCTGTCATCAAGAGGTACAAAAATATACACAGTATAATAATTTCACGGCATAACTCTAGTTACAAACCCTGATCAGGTTGCCCATTTTAGAGAATACCGACTATTATGTACAACTTCGCTTGATGTCTGGATAAAGGCATGCTTCCAAATTTGAAAAGAAAAACACTGAATGTATTTTGGTGAGAGAGTAGATTCTTTACAGTCAATTCTCTTCTTTCACTCCCATGCGAACGGCCTTTGCATATACAGCCCACCATCAAAGCCATGATGTAAACAACTGCCCTTGAGTCATATGGCTATGGAAAATTAAGTTATCAGAAGATATGCCAGCAGAATAAGCTACCCTGTCGAAGATAGCTCATTCTGGTGATGCATGTGATGGACAGCTTCTGTACAATATTACATGCACTATAAACCCATAAATATCTCTTTGATGTGTACTCTGTAAACCTATATAAAACTAAACATTTTATTGCAATAGCTTACTCACTATCATTCTTCTTAAGATTGAAGGGCTAGTTCTAAAATAAATACATACACAAAGCGATACATGAAAAACAGCATATTAATGCTTTAGTTCACTTACCCCAGGTAGATGAATGAGAAAAAGAAAAGCAGCAAAAGAGAAGAAATGATAAGCCAGCCATGGATCACCTGGAAAAAATGATTTCAATACAGATGTTTTTTAGATTTGTTATTTTAAAGTTAATATCTACTTAAAAATGCTTTTAAGGTTATTTTCCCTTTTGATTAAAGCAAGAAAATGATATTCAGATATGTCTGTCTTTGGTTGTTGTTAAATTCCTATTTAGTTTATACACATTATTGTATTTCAATTTGCACTTACGAATTTTAAGTGCTTTGCGGTCTTTCAATAGAAGTTCTATGCAATGAAAACTACTGTTTGTATATTTTTAGGCCATTTTGATAACAGTGGCATATAACATAGCAGAAGTATCCAGTATCACACAGATGGAAAACATGATTAATTTTTGCACAATTAAAAAGCCTGCTCTGATTCCAAATAATTTTCAGAATACAGTTATAGAATTAAATGCTGGAACACAGAAAAACCTTCAGTGCTTATCTGTTGGAATTCAGAATTAGCATGTCATCGATGAATGACTATATAAGGATTTCTGTATTCTCTATCAATCATCTATAGACATAATACCTAATTTTGATATGAGAGCAGATATACATGCCCAACAATTTAACAAAAAACAGTTCAGGGTTGTACTCAGCGGGGACATGCACAGATTTAAACTTGGAAATGACAGGCACTCAGACTTTGTACTGACAAAAGTGCATACCACTCTTGTATATTACATATAACTGTGCAAAACTAAAAATTAAGATTGAAGAGCCCTGTAACTTTGGTAATCTCTGAACTGAGAATGAAACATATATTTGTCAAATTCCCAGCACAGAACCTTATATATAAAACCAGACCCAACATCATAAGTAGATAGCCAGTCAGAAGCAATAATCTAGACATTCAAGCTGCATAAGAAATCCTGCTTCGAATAGACATGCTCAGTGGAAAATTAACTGGTTAAATTAGCTATATATGTACACCAGATCAAAGTATTCAGAAACTGTTTAGAAATTGTGCTATCTATTTCTCTTCTTCTGAAAGATGTGTAGTAGGATGCATCTTATGTTATAGTTTTTAAATATTTTGAAAAATATTTCCTATTAAATATTAATAAATAAAAAATATTAAATTAATTTTTATATGGAATATTGTAAAGCCCATATGCACACAGACTAAAGGAATCACATTTACATGAGGCAACCAGGACTTTCCAGCAAATTAAGAATCTAGCTATTACAATTAGTAATTTAGTACATTTACTCTAATACTAAATTTTTCATAGGCATTTTTAAAATTCTCAGCAATTTTGGAAACATTCGTTCTCCTCCTTCACACTGTCTGTCTTTCAAAACAGGTTCAAATTTAACCTTCAACCCAATAAAACCTGTCATTTAACTTCCTAATCTAACAGATTGGCTTTCCATATTTGCTAGTGTATTCTCAAAAAGACTTAAGAATTTCCCGCATGTAATAAGCATGGTGCCTGAAAGGATCCTGCAGGAAAACTGCCAAAGTATCTGTCTCCGTCCATCAAACTGTCAGCACTCATAGCAAGTGGGGGGGGATAAACATACTACAGCTGAAGACTGATAGGTACCTGAAAGAGAATCCAACTTTTAAACAACTTGTAAAGCTACCTATGCACCTAAGTAGTGACCTAACAAGAGTAATTTTATTTCTCTGAAAACTAGTTGAAACCATTTTAAGAAAATGGCAAAGAAAGCTGTGCCATTGCTTTTAATAATAACATGACTTCTATCTGTAGTTCTTCTATTCGTAGTATAAGCTCTTAAACTTTCTTACCACTTAAGAAAATAACATGAATACTAATGTTTCATTCTAGTAAAGAGTAAAGTGCTAACAATGTCAAACACCAAGGCCATAGTCCAGTAAATGCTTACACACACTTTGCATAACTACTGTCAACAGTACTAAAGTAGGTAGTTTCAAGAGTAGACATAAGTGGGCATTTTACACACAGATGTTTGTTTTATCCGCAGTATGTATCTCATTTCCTATAGCATTTTCCAGATCACCGGCCTCTTTTCATACAAGTGATTTTTCCAAAGTATTTCTTGTAAGTTTTGGCCAGTGTTTTCCTAGCAAGATACCATGACAGGTTTGTTGCCTTCTAATTAAAGAATTTTCATTCTTCATTTGACAACCACTTCAACACTAATTGATTGCTGGTACAGAGTCAGCTTTTCCTGCTACAACTTCAATAAGAACTAAGGATTGCAGAATGCAGAGAATTAAAATGAGCTACAGCAGCCAGATTTTGGTTAGGCAAACTAAAACAATGAAGAATGCAGAGAATAATATGTTAAAAAGAAAAGCTAGTCAAATAGAATCAACTTTGAAGATGCTGTTTCTGGTTAGATTTAGGAGCTAGAATCAGGACCACGCTTAACTTATCACGTACAGGAGAAACATAGGAAACTAAGAGCAGTAAAGCTGAAATTGTATTTCCTTTCTTCAAAGGAGTTTTCAGATAAAAATCTTGTGAAAATAAGCAAGTTATCACTACCAGTTGGAGGCCTAACGTTCTTTCATTGTAAGTTCCATTCCCGATAATTTAGACTACATTCTACATATAGAACTACATGTTAAACAGAATTCAATGGACAGGTAACTACATTTTACAGCATTCTGGTACAGCAGCGTAGAAATACTCTGTTAGCAATTCCAAAAATAAGAAGTGAATTATTTCTTTTAATTAACGTAAAATATAACTACAGGAAATTTCTGTTTTCTAATCATTCTAATTTTTTAGTACAACAATTATTTTTGTTTGGAGAACATGCAGTGCTTTGTGAGGTCAAGAGGGAAGCCAGAAATGTGAAAAGCTTAGTAAAAACTAGTTGATGCCTTCAGCACCTGAGGAGAACTGACTGGCTGCCAAGGAACCTAGCTGAAGTACATCTATTTGACTTCATTAGAATGAACCGAACTGACAGTTTAAAAAGAAAACTTTGTCAGTTCAGATTTAACACCACACTGTGATAAAAGAGAAGGTCCATACTTTAAAAAACACTATTCTGAGCTGTATGCAGACCCAGGCAGAAATCATTTCCCCAGTCACTCCACAGATATTTTGTAAAGGGGTTTCACCCACAACTGTGAAGATCAAAACCATTTTCCCCTCTTGAAAACAAAATAAATCAGAGCAAAGCTATGTGCCAGTGCATGGATCCCACAGCCTGTTTTACAACTATGAAATGCATTCAAGGTTCTGGCTGCACACTGGGAAGTTTTATTATGCCAAGCCTTGTCAAATGAGTCCTTAAGATCAAAAGACAACCAGGAATTTTCATGAACTCCTCCTCCCAGGCAGGTGACATTGCAATTATTTATGCCGAGCCTGGACTTGCCTAGATTACATCATTATATGATTGAAGTCTTTCACAAAAGAGCCTTGGAGCCTCCGTCTTTGCTATAAGGATATTGCCTGGCATGTACAGCCACGCACACATCACACTCTTGGGAGACTTTTATACGGGGGGCAGGGTGGGGAGAGGGGAGCCCTTAGAAAGCCCCTGAAGTCCCAAATAGCTTTCCAGTTGTAGGACCAGTTCTGTACTTTGTTGTTCTTGACCACAGGAAGATTTCAGTACATGGTACATTTCACAGGTATAGGAAGCAATGCCGCCCTAATTGTAACGGACAAAAGAGCCGGCAGTGTTAGCACTGGGCCTTTGCTCCCGCGTTGTGTCAAAGGAACAGAAGCCACAAAATTGAAACAGCGAACTGAATCTCCAGTTCTGCTACTTCTGCTCACTCATCCTTGATAACCCTACATTTTGTTAATTCTTGATAATCTGTACCAATAAATAAAACTAGCACAATTACTCAAGTCAATTATAGTTATACTCACCTTGTAGCACCTGTATTTATAAAGCACAACCAGGAGTATGGTCATGACAATGATAACGCTGATCATGATAGCGGCGTTGAGAATTGAATTCAGGGCTCTCTGTCCTACAGTCTCTGTCTCTTCTGTGAAAGGAGTGTAGATGCTACAACAACAAAGAGTCAACTGAAATGCCACTGAATGCACAGATGTTTCTGATATGTGAGGCCAACATCAAATGAAATTGCAGTAATCTTTCAATTCAGAGCTGTAAAAGCAACAGCTATTTTCTACTTCATCAAAATTTGAAAGGCAGCATAGTATCATATTAGGCAAACTTTAATTAAAAAAAAAAATAAAATTCCTTAGAAGACTTGCCTTTCCTACGTTCTTAGATTACTACTATTTTCTACTTTGTAAAACAAACAAAAACCAGAACTCCACCTTGTTTGATGCAATTACTCACATGCTATGAATCGTTAGACTATTACTGCAGCTAGACGTTTATAAGCACACCATCTAGTGGATTTACAATGAAAGGTTCCCCAGTGATTTCAACAAAACAATGTATGAGCTCAACTCTCTTTCTCTTAAAGAAATACAACAACCTGGGGCAAAAAACACTTCATTATGGGGAAAGGGGTGGCAGGGCGAGAAAACACCATAAATCAAATCTTAAGAAAAATAATTCTTTGATCAACAATTTTGATAGTGAAAAAGAACTCTGTGTTTTATTGAAACATTTTATGACATTCTTATATTACACAAACATTTCAAAGCCGAACACACTTTGAATCATTTTGTCTAAACGTTTTCACAGTGGAACATTTAGACTGATTTGCTGCAGGTTCTGACAGGCTCAGTGTTCTTCCTTTGTCTCCTTTCTCTCAAATCACCTTTCACTGAAATTGCCTTTTTTTGGCAACATTAATACTTTGCCAAAAAAAAAAAAAAATTCTATACAGGAAACCTGCTAGGAAAGTTTCTGTAACTGCAACAGAAGTGAACCTCATAAAGCTATCTTCCTCTTGCATTTGAATTTCTTTATCAAACAGCATAGGCGAACCAGAATTTGGCATATATGTTACTTCATTTAAATTAGTAGGTTTTTTCCTTTTCCAAAACCTTTGTATTCTAGCAGAGTACAACTGAAATGGCTTTGGCTCAGGATTGAGTTTATTTTATAAATACCACAGGGCACAACAAAATATTAAAATGAGGACCTGGGATTTGAATCAAGCAGTAACAACCAAGATATTATCCCAGCTAGTCACCAGACAGACAACAGATGTCAATAGTACCACGAATATAGAGTCTGGTTTCTGGACGGAATAAAACAAAACTATCTCTGGGGTGGTGGAGGGGGAAAGGGAGGCAAGAGAGAGTTCACTGCTTGAATTAGACTCCTGAAGAAATGAAGATTACAGAAGATTATCTAAGTGAGTCCATTGAAAAGATAGGGGAAAAAAACTGATACATACAGCTGTCCATCCTTGCGTGTATAAAAGCTGACAGACTTGATGGTTGCAACAACGACCACCATGCAAAGTGTGACAGGTACAAACAACATAATCACATGTTTTGCCCCATATTTCAGTGTCAGCTCCTCATCTTCCTCTTCGTCTTGTTCCACCACTTGCTGAACGTTGTTTTGTGGCTGCCCATTGGTCTCAGACTCGGGACTGTCATTTCTTCTGCGCTCACTATTATCATGGCGACGTCTTTCGCTGTTGTCATTCTGCAATACATAAAAAAAAAGTTTCCTCGGCAACCATCCACAATCATATTCTTGTACACTAAGCTAAAGATGATCTCAAGGGGGAAACATATAAGGTAATATTCACTGTCAAGAACACTTGCCGTAGCAAGGACTTAAACAGCAGTAATTAATTGCACCACATAGTTATCAAAAGAATGGGAGCACAAGGTTATGTTAGAAGCATTTATATTAAAAACAGCAGCAGCTGAAGGTAGCGCTGGTTGCATCAAACAGCCTATGTCGCCCTTCCTTTAAGCAGAATTTTAAAAGCCGAATAAAGACAGACAGCTTTTTCCCTTGGTCCAAACTACAATTGATACAAGGGTGCACGACAGTAGATTACTCACAGCTTGACAAGGATTAACTGTATCTGTTCCTAGAAATAATGCCAACCAGACATTTATGAACCTTACTCCATGAACGTCCCAAGAAAATTTCTACTTTCCTTACCATGTTACTCCCACTACAGTACACTAACTAGAATATAAATTAAAATGGAGTTTCACGAGGTATGGTGTTCCCACATTTTTAGCAAGAAGAATGACACAGAAACGGTGATCAAACTCAGGTAATTCTCAGTCTTTCCACTGAAATTTGATCCCAAAGTTTTAGTGTGATGAGCCAAGCATGCGGATTCTTTTGTTCCTTTCCCGGGGATACTACTGCCACATCCTTTCACTGACACTGAAGAAATTCCACCACCCTTGTCAACAAATATGAAAGAGTCTCCTAGGCTTCCTGATACTGCTACATGAAACATCAGGGGTATAATTCAAACACAAGGACAGAGGTAAACTTTCAATGGGATTAAGATTAACCACAAGCAAAAACACAAACTGGGAACACCACCTACAGTGCAGGTCTGCACTGCTCCTGTTGTCACAACCCTTTTGCCCCCTCTCCGAGAAGCCCTGTCAGCAGGGGGCATTCAGCCTTTTATATGTGGTGTGCACGTACAGAGAACACAACAGGAGAGTGAGCTACGCTTCACCTGTTCTGGACCACAAAGAAATGAAAGCATTTTACGTTTACCAGTCACTCTAAATGATCCCTAAAATACAACAGTTTATACAGTCTACTCTTTTTTTTTTTTTCTGTATTACCACGTCCAAAGTCAATGCTGTACTGTTCCCACTCCCTCCACTCAAAAGGTTTAACATAAAAGAGATGTAACACAAAGATTTTTGATTCCTTACAAAATTAATCTCATTTCTTCAGAACTACTTCATTTACAAACAGTTCCGTTCGAGTAAGTGCACTAAAGCAGCTTTAGATTAAAATGTACAATAAACTGAAGGAAGATACCATTTGCAATACCTTTAAAATACCACTCAGTTTTAGTAAAATTGCTCTAGACGTAAGATAGGGCATTGAAAATAACCTAATGTATTTCTGCTTAAGTACTCTTATCCAGGTAATTTTTTCCTTAAACATGCAATGTTAAAGTCTTATTACCTGTTCTTAATAGCATTTCCAAACATAACTGCTGACTTGTATCTCATCAACTCACTGCAGTTTTTTGATAAATCAATAGTAATTTTGGAGATTCTTTATAGACGATTTTCCCAGCCCCACCCTCAGAAAAGATAAGATGTTAAGTACACACTCAGGAACTCATAGTGGGGTTTTGAAAAGCACTTAAGTGATTATGGAGTACAAGGCACTGGACTTTGAACTGCAAACACTGACACTGCTAAAATCTTGGTTGAAGCTTTACAACTTCCCCAACTCATGAAAAATTAGCTTTTACAAAACATTACAAAGTAACAATATACATCAAATGTTTTGCCTATTTACTCCTTTGTTGTGGTATCCTCAGGATCAAGTTGAGCAGGGTTTCAAGAACTGTCCTCTAAGAAAATTTACTTTATTTTTCAAAGAGAAAACTGAATATAACGGGAGAAAAAAAAAAAAAATCTAAAATTGTCTTAATTAAGCAATTAAAACTATCAGGCAAACAGATTTTTAGAATTAAGGTTTTAACTTTAATTTCGATTTAGTATCATTAACTTAAAGTATGTCCTGAAAAATATTTTGGGTTCAGTATTATCTTACTAAACAAAAGATTCATTATAAATGACTTGGCATTTTGCATAAAGTCCTCACACATGATTATTGAAAGTCAGACAGAAACAGGAGTATGAGAGAACGCAAATAAAGAGATTATGTTTAATCGTTCTGAAATGCTAGCTGCAACTGGACCTCCTTCTGTACAGATTATAGCTAAAATGTAACATTTTTCACTTTGATAGTGAAACAATAAGCTTACCTGTCTAAATAAACTGCCTAAGATGATCATAAGTAACTCTACGTTGGAGATGATCAGAGCCTTGGAACACTTCACAAGTAAAGCAGACCTAGTGTTTAGGTCTTGCACTTGCAGAATACGTTGCTCTTTCTCTGCTGTAATAGCAGTCCTGAATGAGGGAGCACTTACCCCTATCATAGGCACAGAAATGTAAAAAGTGGAATAAAAATCTACAGCTTTGCAAAGCAAACACAAAAACAGCCAAAGGAAAAGCCTGATTAACTTGCACACCACTACAAGAAACTGCAAAATCAAACATAAAGAGAAAAATTGAAGAAATTAGACCAATACGTGCCATTTTATTCCCTCCAGTAGTTAGGAACAAAGACACAATCACAAAATGCCTTCACATATTAAAACACAGTGCATGAAAACCAGATCAGCATCAAAAGAGTTAAGAGTTATTCTCTCATTCGCTGTTAAAACTAGAAAAAAGTTGTCCTTTCAGGCTACTAAAGTGTAGCTAAATGTGACATGCGCGTGCCCTACTGCTTAAAAGAACAAAGTGCACTCATATCCTACCTGATGAGTATTAAACAGAGCAGAGGCCATGGACTCTTGCTGAAGTGGAAGCAAAGGAACAGACTCTTCACTTTCCTCAGACATAGTTAAAAGTGAAAATTCTGAAGCTAAAAAGTCAGTAACACCTGTTGTAACACCGTAAGCAAACGTAAGTTACGAACTACGCGCTTTCAGGTGAATAAACAATATCAAAAGCAAATGATAGGGTTTTTTTTTCCTATCAGGAAAATAGTTAATAGCAAACCCAGAGCAATGCCCCTGAACCAAGAGATAAAAACCTAGCATATTTGATAAAAAGTTTTTATTTATTAAATCCAGATTTATACATCAGGAGCAGACCCCCTTGCCTGACAGTGGGCACAGACTTTGTTAGTTCTCACATACACCATTTATGTTTAAAGGTCATCATACAGTGACAGATATTGAAGACTTGGCTGAACTCTTGGTGTGTGATTGGAAGAAAAGATGGCAAGTTATAGTACTTAGTGGTTTCACGTGCTGACTGCTGGCCACAGAAGCTAGATATACTTAAGCAGGAAAGAATTTTTGTACATATGTACGAAAACAAAGCGGACGTGTGTAGGGGAGAAAAATCATTACAACTAAGTATTGAAACTACACCTAGAGTTACACTTAAACATGGAAAGAAAAAGCACAAGTAGTAGTTATTCATCTGTACAATCTGTCAGTGAGAAGTAAATAGAACCATCCGTCCCTCAGTGCTGGGAAAGAGCATCACCAAGTTATCTGTAAGGATGGTGAGCCCACAGCTTATCGCTGAGCTCTGCCTTTTTAATCTGGCAGTAGTGTTCAAAAAAAGTTAATCTCTCACCTGTCCAAGATGAAAAGAACTCTTTTTCATTCCCTCTGAAGCAAAAGCACAAAGGATGCAGTAGGAAAGTTTTCACTTTTCTAGTTTTATTAACAGTTTCTATAATCAGTAAGGTCTTAAGTCACTGATTTCTTAATTTAAAAATAAATTTTCAAATGTTTTGCACTTTTACTGATATAGCAGGATGCTGATCTGAGATAAAGACAAGGCTTTTTCAAAATTCTACTTAAACTGCTGGATTGTATAGAAGAGTTAGGGCAGGGATCAAAATATTCTCTTGAATCACTGCCATAAACATGGCTACAAGTGGCCCAGCCTCACAAGAGCATTTCTGTGTCACAAGGAAACCTGATATTCAAGAGCTATAGCAGGAACAAAGAACGGAGCATGACAAATCCAAGAGCCTGAGCACCACACCCAAGTACATCATCTAAACTTGGTTTTAGCAAAACACATGCAGTACAATGAGTACAGTTCTAGCAACAATTACGTGCTTAGGTCTTTCAAAGCAATCACATAAAACTTTATGGTTTGAGTTCCCCCTCCCCCGCAAAACCTCAAGAACTCTGACAGCACCTTCACAATTATTCACAAGTGAGACCGTGCTGCTCTTCCTGCATAGGAGTAGTCCTCCAGCAGTAGCAACAACAAAACTCAGGCTTCAAGCTCTACCTAGACTAAAATTAATTCTGTGACTGAGAGACCTGTGAATCACGCAGATCACAGCCAGGCTAGATCAAGAGAGCTCACTAAATCCCCTAAGGGCCAATGTTGGACAGGGGAGCATCCCACCCCATTTTCTTATTTTTCTTCAGGACTTGGTCACCCCAACACCACTTTAAACTGGGAGAAGTCTTATCTCTATATAAAAATGAGTTTAGAACATCAGATATTTTACAGAATATTTCAGCACTGCTTATCACCACAACACTCCAGATAGAGAAAACTACTCCCAACAAACAGATTTCTAGACTTCTGAACTGTATTTTCATCCACGCTCATTATTCATCCTGATTTAACTGCTACCAGGTAATAAAATTGTTTGTTACATACGGTGTTGCTGAGGTGGTTATCAGGGAAGTTTTCTGTCAGCTGCCCATGCTGAAACTGGGGTAAATGTGCAGACAGTTCTGTCATTGGGGCTGTCCTCTGGAAATCGCTTATTTCTGCACAAAACGGATCTTTCCTCTTGAGATGCTGAAAGGAAAAAGATGTGTAAAAAGCCTTTGTTCTTATATGACTAAGTTCTCCATCTCCTCCCTACCCCAATTTTTAGAGTTCACACAGACCAAAGATAACCATTTTCTGTCTACGCCATGATACTGAACTGTATCGCATCTTTACTAAGAGGTCATAATAGGGATTTCCCAGCATAAAAATAAGAGCGTCTAGGCGTTATCAAATTAGTTCATCAGCCACAGAAGTAAGCCAGCAACAAACTAATCATTCAAAACAATTCTCCATTCCTTCTTGTGCAATAAATGAGAAATACTGCACGCTTGCTCAGAGAACAACTTGAATGTTTTTATCTCAGCAGAGTACAGTTGCTCCAAGTTGTTCGGTTTTGGATTGCTGATAAACTCAAGGGGAATCTTCAAGCAAGGATGACTGAGTTTGATCATTTAAAATCTGGATGTACCTTTAATACTGTAATGCCCTAAGAGCGACCTAGAGCTACACAAAGCAGTATTTCAGCTGAGCCACGAGAACTAATGTGCATTCATTTCCCCTAGTGGTAGGTTTTATGTATCAGCTAAACATACATAAACATGCCATACACTTGTAACAGCTTTATACATTCTTCCATAAAAAAGTCATATGCTAACATTTTCCTATGGAAACATGAATAAACCATGTGCTCCATAAGAAAGGAGGATAAAGCAATATAGGTGAAAGAGGAAGAAGGGTGACATCACTACATAAGTTTCAGAAAAAACATAATTTTAAGAAACAATGAGTAGGCCTAGATAAATCACTGGCTTGATTACACAAAACATAGGGAAGTGAATAAATCACTGCCCAAAGGGTGGAGTGCCAGTTCCCACTTCCATCCCAAGTGGCTCCTGCTCCTACCTTGTGCCAACTCTAGCACTCATCAGTCCTCTTTACAGTAGATTTTATTCACTAAACCGGAAGAAAACCAATCCAGGAAAAGAAAACAATAATATTTTTCTGCTGTTTTAGTATACTCAACTGATGTACGGAGGGATCTCGAAAAACTCATACGAGGGAGGACATCAGAAAGCAAGGCCTCTCACTTTCGGCAGCAGCAAGCCACAAGTGCTGCAAGACAGCATCTTAAAGAGTGAGTTAAGCTTGTTTTCATATGTACTAAGATGCAGAAGCTGTTTCTCTACTTACAAATAAATACATATCTTACAAGACTAGCGCATAGTGCTTACTAACTTCAACAGGGATGTAGCTTACACTAAAGAGCCATTAGGCAGCAACACCAATTTAGCAAGTCTAGTGGGAGTGTGCAAACTGTTTGGAAAAAGAAAGACAACACAGTATTCACTAGAATGGCTCTCTTCCACATTCATAATTAAAAATCAAGCACATCTAGTTTAAAATGTAATGAAATGTAAGATTAGATGAAAATAAATAGGCATTACGTTGCTTTTACTTTTAAAGTTTTTGCTCTAATTCTTTGGTTGGGCTACAGAATATAAACAATATTTGTTTTAAGGCTGCTATTGGTAAAAATTCTCAGTGACAGGGCCACCGCAGAGGAAAAAGTTGAGTATTTTTATCGAAATGTGGAGTATCAGAATAAGATTTTTCACATAGCAGCATATCAAAATTCTAAATAAATTACAGGAGAAAGGAGGAAAAAAAACCCAAACAAACACAAAAAACCAAAACACCAACTCACAAAATCCTATGTAAAGAATCCTGGTAAAGAAAACCACCACAAACTCACCAAACAAAAAAACAACAGCTACTGAGGGGCAGAGAGAAACTGAAGAGGGAGGAGTAACTGACAGCAAAGCTGCACCAAAGCTTGAATGACCGCATCTAACAGACCTCAAAACTCACGGCTTGTTAAAACAATCCCTTTTGAAAACTCAAGAGCTCAGAAAATGGATTCAGGACATTTTCCCTAGCAACTTTATTTTCTATTTTGAAATAAATGAACACTCCCAAGTTTGAAATTTAACTATGAATGAATGAAATCTAGAAACGAACTGTGCATAAGCAGACACAAATTAAGTTTTGACTTGTTGTACCTGAAAAGGGACTTACCGAAACATTTTTTTAATGAAGCTGTTAATATTAAAATAGCTTATCTAAAAACGTTCTTCCCTGCTTCCTTTGGCGTTCCTTAGCAAGAACAGCAGCAGTTACAACTGTAGTTTTCGTGCATTTACATTTACCCTAGCAAGTAGAGGTAGCCCTTCAGTAAGCTCAGTAACGTTTTCTCTGCTCAGAAGAGAAGGCACAGCGGGTATCCACCACCCACAGCAAGCGCGGCGCGGCGCGGCCCGGTTGACCCCCGCCTTC